CCCTCTGTGCCTTCTGTGCCTTCCTTGTCCCTCCACCCATCTCTTTCTCTGTCTGTCTCTCTCTCTGTCTGTCTCTCTCTCGATCTTTCTCTGTCTAGATCTCTGTTCACAACTCCTTCCCTCCGCTGCTCTCCGCCTTCCTCCCGCCCTTCAATCCCCTGGCTTGGTGCCCTGGAGACACAGTTATTTCCCCGTCCGTCACTCTTGGCTGTCTGGACTACTGGTTTCCTCTCCGAGTTTGGGAGGAGCGGCCGGGACTAGGGGTACAGGAGCCGGTGACCAGGAAGGGAGAAGGGGGCCTCGGGGCGTGGAGAGCACAAACAGAGCGGGGAGAATAGGCAAGTTTTTGTGGGTCAGGGGAGGCCAGCGTCTCGGAGAAGGCAGCGGAGAGAGCCAGCCTGTTGATTCAGGGGCAGAGAGAGGGGTGGGTCAAGGCAGAGGGTGGAAATGGGACCCCAGGGGATAATAAAGGAGGGGGACAGAGGTATCTAGGGATGGGGAGGGGGCTATGGGCAAGATAGGATGGGGCAGGGAGGGAAACAGCCTGAAGAGAAGGGGAAATATGGACCAGAGGGGAGTTTCGGTGGAAAGACAGGGAGCTATGTTCTGCTTCCCCTCCTTTGTCTTGGCTCTGGATCTCCCGGGTCCTGGGGAAGAATTCTCCCCATAGTCCCAGGATGTCTCTCATCCCTCTCGGTTGTAGCCTGAAATGCAGGAAGGGGCTAGGATGGGGAGAGAAGAGAGGCAGGACCCTAGATCAGGGGTCCTGACTCCCAGCCTGCCCCTATCCCCCCTCCCCGCAGGCTGCGGGACCCAGCCAGCCCCTCCTCTAGGAGGGACCCAGCAGTCCTGGCGCCCAGCCCCAGCGCCATGAGGCCGCTTCTGCCCCTCCTGCTGCTGGCCCTGGTGGCCGGCTCGCCCCCATTGGACGACAACAAGATCCCCAGCCTGTGCTCCGGGCATCCTGGCGTCCCGGGTACCCCCGGGCATCACGGCAACCAAGGCCTGCCTGGCCGCGATGGCCGAGATGGGCGAGATGGGGCGCCTGGGACTCCGGGCGAGAAGGGTGCCGGCGGGCACCCGGGTAAGAAGACCTCACCCCGCCCCCCTTTGCCATTCTTTCTCCCTTCTTCTCGTATGTTCCTCCCCAATGATTCACTCCTTCCCCGCTTCTTCTTCCCCTAGGACATCCCCTCTCCCTACTCACTAACTTATTGGCCCCAGCACAGCCCTTGGAGAGTTAGTGTTGGTCCCAGTACCCCTTATCACGCCAGAGGGCGCAGGAATTCCTTAGTAGAACTAGATTTTCTTTGGGACCTGCCCCCATCATTCAACCCCTGCCCAACAAATCTCTTAAGTTCCACTGGCTATAGTATCAACCCAACCTATAGGTGAAGAAATTGACTGGAGAAATATGGCATAGGAAGGGAAAAGAGGGAAGATGGGGGCAGACCTGTTCCCACAGATTTATAGATAATAAAATATAAAGCAGGAAAGGATCTTAGAAATCATTTAGCCCAATACTCTCTCCTTCCCTCATTTTACATAGGAGGAAACAGACCCAGCAGGCACAGCTGTTTCACTTTTTTTGAGGCCTCGGTCTCCTCTTCTGTAAAATGACAAGGATTGGACTAGATACTCCCTAAACCTACCATTTCTAAAGCCTGTGATTCTCAAGTGGCATGCCAAACTCAAGTAATTAGAAGAGGTAGAATCTGAACTCTGGTCCTCATTGCCCTTTCCATTATAGCACACCTCCTATTCCATCTCAACTACATTTCCTGAGGAACCATGCCTGGTGAGGGATGAAGGAGATAGGGTGGAACTTTCGAAGGTCCCTCTGCCTCCACAGCTGTGACTATCATGTCCACTCCTAACACTGTCCCTTACCCCCACAGGGCTGCCTGGGCCTCGGGGGGACCCGGGGCCACCAGGAGAGTCAGGGCCAATGGGAGCAGCAGGGCCAGCGGGTGAGTGCGCAGTGCCTCCCCGGTCAGCCTTCAGTGCCAAACGCTCAGAAAGCCGGGTGCCTCCACCTGCTGACACACCCTTGCCATTCGACCGGGTGCTGGTGAACGAGCAGGGGCACTATGATCCTACCACGGGCAAGTTTACCTGCCAGGTGCCTGGCCTCTACTACTTTGCTGTCCACGCCACTGTCTACCGTGCTAGTTTGCAGTTCGACCTTGTGAAGAATGGCGAATCGGTGGCTTCCTTCTTCCAGTTCTTTGGTGGATGGCCAAAGCCAGCCTCACTCTCTGGGGGAGCCCTAGTAAGACTGGAGCCTGAGGACCAAGTCTGGGTGCAAGTGGGCGTGGGTGACTACATTGGCATCTATGCCAGTGTCAAGACAGACAGTACCTTCTCTGGCTTCCTAGTTTATTCTGACTGGCACAGTTCCCCTGTCTTTGCCTGATGCTTCCCACTCTCCAGGAAGGTTGCTCACTTCTTCCTTCCTGGGATGCTACACCCTCTATTCTAAGAAGGGTGTCACTGCCCCAGCTGCATCTGCTCTGAGGAGGGCTGGCTCCCCCTTCGTGTGGGTGAGTAGGGAGATAGGGGCATCTTACTCTTGCTGTCGATAGGGACAGGAGGGCATTATTGACAGGGAAGTGTGCCCACTGAAGGCATAACGGGAAAGTGGCCAGATTTCTATCCAAAAGAAAGGCATATGACCTGCATCTGGCAATCATGCCCCATGGGCACGGGTGTTTTGGTTCCCCAGTCCTCAGGGCCCAAAGCCTCAGTGGTAATGGTGGTAATGGTGGGGAGACCTTCACCCTTTTCCCTCTGGGTCCCTTCCCTCTGTATTCCTTTACCCCAGGAACAGGGTCTTATGCTTAGACATCACTCAAATAAATCTACAAAAATCCTCCTAGTTCCAGCCTCTAATTATCTGGGGAGTTGTCATTCAGTTGTTTTTAAGTCATGTCCAACTCTTGGTGATCCCATTTGGGGTTTTCTTGGCAAAGATACTGGAGTGGTTTGCCATTTCCTTCTCCAGCTCATTTTACAGATGAGGAACTGAGGCAAACAGAGTTAAGTGTCCAGCTCATTTTACACATGAGGAACTGAGGCAAACAGGGTTAAGTGACTTGCCCAGCGTCACACAGCTAGCAGGATGAGTCTTCTTGATTCCAGACCCAGCACTCTATGCATTTTGCACCACCTAGCTGC